ACTATGCATTAAGGAACACAAATATAACCTCACACAGGATTTGCTGGAAAAATCAAAATTAGCCCAACATGCATATGAGGAACGCCACAAAATTTGTTGGAATGAAGCCAAGGTCTTGCAGATCGAGCCCAACACCACATACAGGACATACAAGGAATCAGCCCACAAGTCTCTGCTGGACCATCAAATCAGTCAACCCAGTGTGGATATCAATCCCATCTGGGCCCCCATCATATCAGCAGAAGTCAAGAGACTACAACGCAATTAAGCGTAGTTGGAGTGGAAACTAGTTGTTTTTCTTGTGTTGGTACCATAAGAAGTATTGCTTCTCTTGAGCAATGATTTCATTTGAGATACTTCTCTCTGGTGCAAGGCCCCACATGTGTGGGGTTTCAATAATTTAATATTTTCTTAGCTCTCACAGATGGTTTGTGTTGCGTTTGATTTATGTACCCCTTTTTGAAACTGGCATAGGTATCCGGAGATAGCAACTAGCTCTATCTATTGGATCCAACTGAACAGGTTTTCTCTGAGGACAGGGACAGAATCCAGTCTCCAAAACATTGTGTTTTGAAAAATAAACACGAGTTTTTTTTTAGAAAATAGACAGGACAATGGATAATGTACAAAAATATAATACTTGTAGGAAGTGTTGTGATCACATAAAGGCAGTTTCGTGCCCATTTCAAACGTGATGAGCACCTTCAATTAAAACAATTCATAAACTTTATAACCAGTCTAATGATGGCTTAGTGTTGGAGAAGAAACATCACTGGCCTTCACCTGTGCATTCTCAGGAGAACACTTATGTTGTCAAAGTGGAACTGCAAAGAAGCCCCAGTAAATCAATAAGAAAGGCTGCAGCACAACTAGGGATGTCCAGATGACCAATGTAATGAATACTGAAACTTGATTTGAATTTGTATCCATACAAAATGCCAATGGCATTTACTGAATGGGCTCAGAAAATTGAGGTATCATTGAATAATGTTTGGTTTTCTGATGAGGCACACTTCCACTTGGACAGTGTGGTCAGTAAACAAAATGTGTGATTTTGGGCATCAGAGAATCACGTGATTCATGAGAAGAGTGCACCATGTACCATGCAAGCACCGATAAATATTTCATCAGTTCTCGAAACAAAGCTGGGCTATATTTGGCTGAGCAGGTCATAAACAGTCATATCTATACGTAAATAGTATCGAAACCAGTACCGTGATAAATAATTTCTTTGTTCAGAGCTAAGGAATGAACCACTGACATGACCTCACGTAGGTTTGTTTTGGTTTCCAACCCAAGGTCAAACTGCCAGCACTCCCAAAGAGAGTCCTGTGACATGTACACAGGTCATACGCGGTTACTGCTTGCGACGTGTATATGTGACATTCGGCCGTTAAAGGTTAATGGTGGTCATATTGAACAGTTGAGTCACAGAAGATGAAACGCCATGCAATGGTCTTTCTTTTTGCATGTTAGTTTGTAGTACTGTTACTGAAATTAATATTTTGTTAATAGATCAAATGCTGGATCATTTTGTGTTATACCCTGCACATTTCTGCAACAATACTGTCACATGTTAGTGACCAGACATGGGGTTTAGATTGATAACTAGATTTACTCAATGTTTATAACTTGTGGCTACAAATGATTATAACACACTCACTAATCTACACAGACTACAAACCACTACAGCTCACATTAAGTCTTCTCAGTTTGTTATGTCTTGCCAGTTGTTGCTTGGTAGTGGCTTCTAATAATGGAGATCCCTCTGCTTCCATCCTCACAGCCAACCACAAACTGCAACTGCTGACTCACAAGTAACTTCTAACTTCTGACTGCTGACCTGTTCACCCAGGGTCCTTGTTATATAGCCTCAGCAAACTGCATGTTAAACAGCACTTCCCGCAGTTCTATTGTTGCATGCATATCCCTTGCAATGGGAGCATGTTTACCAGGCCTAGCAATGGCTGCCTCTTCTGGCTCCACTATTCTGCCTTTCAGGTGTCATGTCACACTGCTCCCTGAGTAGACTACAGGTGTAACACCACTTGTTCTTCGATGGGTGTTGCTTGTGATGTCTATAATCACCTCTGTGAACAGCACCTTGATGTCACACTGGCCCATTGCTTTTGCTTCTGCTTCTGGTTTTGACGGTATTCACCCTTCATTTCTCATGGGTTGGGTCTCACATTAGTGTTCCCAAACTCTTTACAGCTGTTCACCTCAAGCACCATGGCCCTTTTGTAGGCGTGCCTGCTTAACATGGTTTTACTACCAGCAGTCTCCAGTCATCCTTACAGGCACCTCCCTTGGGATTGGACCAGCATTCTTGCCCTTTGTACTTCAGCTCAGTAGATGGCCCAGAAACCAATCCCTGTGAGGCGCCACAAAACAACAACCGTAACACACCAAGTTACTACCACCTTGTTGTTATCCTTCATATGGGGGGGGGGGGGGTTTGGAATGCAGCCAAAGCCCAATTGCACTTCTTCCTAGCCCAGTTTTAGCATATGGTGCCTCAAATTCACAGATGCATTGTTTGTCTCCCCTGATGCCATCTGTGGGACATACGGAACAGTTGGGTCCCTCTTGGGCAGTCCTGTAGCAATGTCTGGTCTAACAATTGTTACTGCAGCTCCTGTATTGATAGTCACAAGATATCCCTCAGCACTGAGAAACATTGCTGTGCCTCTCCAACACACTGACTCTGTAAAGAGGTGGAGGTGATAGCACTGGTGCCTTCTTCATTTCTCTCTCATTTTTGTGGTCTCAGTAGATTTTCTTCTGGGAAGTGTTTATGGAGATATTCCACTGGCAGTCCTTCTAAGGTGGCTAACATGCCAAATTGCCTGCAGATGGGTCATGCCATCCTGCTGTGCTTGCTCTTGGGTGAATATGGTTCACTGGGTGCTCTGACCTTTCATACATGGGCTGCTGTTATATTCTGGCTATGGCCATCATCTCTCCCACTGACTCCTGCCTGTTCCTCAAGCTTCGGTTGTCCTTTTCTTCATTCAATTCGTCGGGACAATTCTCTCAAAAGTGGCCAGTAATTGCAGTGCCAGCACATAAGCTGTTGGCTCGGGGTGACCAGCTCCTTCAGAACGTCTTGGCCTTGTTTTCCAGAGCCTAATGAGTGACTTGACAGTTAGCTTTATGGCACCCTGCCTGAGGGCCTCACTGACCATTCCCTCACCTGCCAGAAGTAGCTGCCAGTCTCTTATTTCACTGACAAACACCTTGCCTGCTTCCCTACAAACATGGTCCTTGGGAACTGCAGGAAGGGCACAGTGGGTTAGCTGCTCAATGTGAATGGCAAACTCCTGCAGGGGCTCACCAACAAGTTGAGTCCCTGTTTTCAGCCAAGTTCAAAATGTTGTGGCCTGGTGCTAATCCCAAACATGGTCCTCAAATGCCCCCATAGTCTCTCACACATTGTTCCATTAAGGACTCTGGGTAAAACATCAGAAGTCTGGGCCTGCAGAGTAGCAAGCAGGAGCGTGGCTGTCACGTGTGGCATCCAGTTACAGTGCTATACTATGGCCTCAAGCTGGCTCCTATCTATGCTGGTACCTATAATGCCATAACACCCATTATCAGCTTGGACTTCGACTTCTGCTAGTCTTGTCAAGACATGACGCATGGCTTCTACCAGCATCCTTTTTTGTTTGAATCCCCACTTGTGTTGGACCCCGAGGTCCGGCTCCTTACAGAGGCGCTGTGCTCTTTGGTCCATATTATGTCCTCATCACTTCTAAGTCCAGTTAGGTCTCTTTGATCATTGTGTTAAATTTCTCGCAGAGGCTCTTGGTCTGCATATCAAGGGACGTTTGTTAGACAAGATCTGTTTCTTTCCTTGCAGAGGCCCTGGGTCCATTGGTCTACAGACATTTGGATGTCTTCCAACCAATTTTTGATGGTCTCTTTCAGTTCAGAAAGAATGGAGTTTATTGCAGCCTCCATCTTCTCCTAGCTGGGCATCACTCTGGCCTTCATTTCCTCCAGGCCAGTCTTCATCATGGCCTCGATCTTGTCTTGACTGGTGCTCATTTCAGCACTTATGGTCTTAATATCCATCATTACCTTTTATAGAGCAGCCTGTATTTCCTACATGGCGGCTATCAGATTCGCAGTCTCCCCATGATGAACTGTCACATTGGTTCCAAACCAACACCCCAGCAATTAACCAAATCAAATCAATCCTATCCCATTTATGACACCAGCTGCCATGTCTTAGTGACTAGGCATGGGCTTTGGATTGATATGTGGATTTATTGAATACACACCACAACTACAAATGATATCACGCTCACTAATCTACATGCTCTACAAATCACTACAGATCATATTAAGTCTTCTCAGTTTGTTCTCTCTTTCCCATTCACTGCTAATGAGCAGCTTGTAATAATGGAGATTCCTCCATGCTTTCGGCCAACAACGAACTGTGACTACTGACTCAAAAATAACTGCTAACTTCTGACTGTCACCTGACTCACCTATGGTTCTTATTATTATAGCTTTGGCATAGACTGAACAGATAACATTGCATCCTGCAGTTATTCTATTGTTGCGTGCATATCCCTTGCCACAGAAGCATGTTTACCAGCCCACTTACTAGCAAATGCCAACTCTTCTGGCTCCACTATTCCAGCTTTCTGGTGTTATATCACAACATGAATAATCTAAGACAAGGCTGCCAGACATAGAAAATTAGAACTCTACAAGCCTACTGACTCTTATGCTAATTTTGCAATTCATCTGAAAATATTGTTTGGATGAAGTTATTATGCTCTTCATGTGGACAGTCATTTTCAGGCCATATATTCCTATGAAATGTGAACACTTTGTTTTATCATACTATGGCAGAATAGATGACAGAAAAGAAGAGAAATGGAATATCAGAATAGAAGAGATATAAAAGTTGATGTACATAATATTAACACCTTATCATTATAGTAATTCAGCAGAACATATGAAAAATTTCAAGTAAGAAAGGATATATTCCCGGATGTCCACGAGATCCATAGGCATAATCAGGAGAGCACACGAGGCGAGCACGCTGACCGACACACATCTGAAACCATATAAAATATGTTACTAGATTTAAGATACAGAATAAAACTTTACTGTACAAGCAAATTATAATTCTCTAGCTGCAGTTTGAAGTCAAGACTGTTTGGCAACTAATTCAGACATCAAAATCAGCAACCCACATTAACACAAGATCATTTTACATACAACTTCTGCAACATAGATTAGGTGGATCATGTTTTATTGCTGTTATGTATTTAACTTACTGAGACTGGAAGTGGTACTATATATCTTCCAATGTTTCATGCAAAACCTGAAATACTCCAATGATCTCTGCAACATGAAAGGCATATCAAACATACTGAGGTATCAATTCCCCTTTCTTCAAATATGAAGCATGAATTTTACCATGGGGGTTTTATTATAGTAATTAGCGTTTGTGCAACTTCAAATTTAAGCTACTGCATAAGCCTACTGCAGAGTATTGTAATGAAGGTGACACTTTCTTGGAAACACTGTCACTGGATACAAGACTTGGATCGACCATTATGTTGCAGAAACCTAATGCCACAATATGGAATGGAAATGTAAACCATTGCCAGTCAAAAAGAAGTTTAAAACTCAAGCATCAGTCAGAAAAATGATGTTGACACTTTTTTGGAATGGACAAGAGCCAATTCTGGAACAATTCCAAGAGATGGGGGCACATCAGTGAAGTTTCCGTAATAGTGAAATTCTTCAGAATAGTTGAAACCAATTATTTGAAACAAAGACCAAGGACTACTGTAAAAGGTCTCACAGTATTGCACAATAACACCCATATGCAAACTGCTGCCTACACCATTAAAATCCTCCACCACCAAGTGAACTCTGAGATGCTGAAGCATCCTCCATATAGTCCTCACCTGGCTCCTCTCATCACCTGTTTGGTCCACTCTAAGACAGTCTGAGAGGACGCCATTTAGCCAGTGACAAAGAAGTGGTGCAAAGCGTGGCTTATCATTCAACAGAAAACTTTTTTCTGAGGGCATACAGGACGTTGTGGACCACTGGATGAAATATGTCAAAAAGGATGGAGACTATACAGATAAATGATGCTATTGTAAATACTCATTCTAATTGTATTTTTTATAAATTAGTTCTGAATAACCCTTGAATTTACTACCACCAATGGCAGTTGTAACGCATGCAAATGTGCTCTTCCAGCACTGACAATAAGCTAACTGTATAAAGATTGTGTTCTTTTTTAACAGTTTCATCGAACTATCATGATCGGGTTAAAACATGCATTAATTCTAATAAAAATAAAAAACGTTTGTATTAGTCTGTCTTTCTATGATTTGATGGACAAATGCCAGTATTACTGCCTTGTAATGAATGAAAGTAATAATTTAACTGTTTGGTAAAAGCTTTCTATATTATACTGAAGGTTTGTTGAAGTTTTCTGCACTGTTTCCACAAGGTGCATCAAATAAATGCAGACTGGAGGACATGTGGCTATGCATCCAAGTTTCCTCTCTCAAACGACTTGACTACATAATAACTCAAAAACCAGTTACTGTGTAAAAAATATGAATATGACAGAAATACAGATCTCATTAAGATGTAGAGCTTTCATTTGAAACCCCTTCTGATGTGAATTTGTAATGATATGTAAGGGAAAATAATCTCTGACTAGTAGATTTGTATCCATAAACTAATGAAATTGACTGTTGGCGTTAGTTTATCATACATGTGCGCACATGCATGTAGAAAAATACATATTACACTATGGAAAATTATGGGTGTAATATGACTAGTCATTAACAGAAAATAAATTAACATATAATTCAATAAACATTTCCCAGCTATTTGAACAGTGAGTGAATGGAAGCAACTATGAAATTTTAAGAAATCTTATTCAAAAGCTAACATCTCTAAGATCCGTTTTAATATTGTCCACCCACCTACGCCTTGGTCTTCCCAGTGGTCTCTTTCCTTCTGGCTTTCCCACCAATATCCTATACGCATTCCTCATTTCCCCATTCGTGCATTTTGTTTCATTAAGTACAATTTTTGTAATGATCATTACTCTCTCTTCTGACCAAGCTTCACTGAGCTCTGTGATGATCTGTTGCACTACAGTGGCACCTATTAACATGTCATTGTTAGACAAAGTAGAAGTTTGTACTGACCAACTGGTTTTCTAAATTTCCTGTTGTGGCAGATGCTGCTGCATGGTGGATCACAAGCATTTCCCATTTGTCTGCAGTTCTTCTGGTGCCTGGTGTCATGTCCCCTGACACAGTACAGCAATGAAGGGCTGTTCTGGTGAGGTAAACTTGGAGAAGAACGTTCTCCCAGAGGACCATCTTAAAATCAAAGTCATGGTCAAAGTGACTTTATGACTGGCAGTTTACCGCCAATCAGTTCGTATTGGCATCAAGCCCCTTTAGACCCACGACCATTATTTTCTTTTTCAACTGAAGACTTGCCGTTATAGCCCTTATGTAACATCCTCTCTGACGAGAGGATGATCTGTTGTTTACAACTGCCGCTGGTCCTCGCCAGCGCAGTCATTCTCAGATCCAAGTCTCATGGGGCTCAAGACCATATTTTACTATCTCAAATCTGAGACTCCCACAACCTGGAAGGCCAGGTCTCTGTATTTCTATCCCCCACAAACAGGGTGGTCCAGTTATACACCCATGTAATGGGTGCCGTTTTTGTCACCTACTATGGCTCACAGAGCTATGGTTTAGGTATTCCAACCTGCACAGACCACATAGAAAATGCAGCCTCCAACAGTTCCTCTATTATTGCATTCGTGTATGCGTTGCTGCAGAAACATGCTGACCGGCTGTTGCCTAGCAACGATCATCTCTTCTGGCTCCACAATTCTGACTTTAAGCAGACATATCACAATACACTGTTGCCCATTGTTCCATATTTTTATAAAAGTATTAGAATTAATTCACAGAGTTACATATCCAAGTGGACAGTTATCCATATTGGAAGCTGTTGAAGTCTTCATCCACATAACACATGTCCATTAACAATGGCCAGCCAACTAAACAATATGCAGACCGCAAAAGTTTACGAAATGATGGATGTAGCTCGTTTTTACATGTACACAAATTCATTTCTTTGTAACAGACTGTGTTTTAGTAACTGTGGTATATGTTGGAGTGTTGCCAGAAAAAGGTGGAGGGAGAAGATCTTCTCTCTCTCTCTCTCTTAACTACTTCCAACTGGCAACAACAGCCATAAAAAATCATTCGGGTTATTTTACTTTTTGCTATGGTAATAACAAATATCAAGGCAATGTCATACATACCAAAACTTGGAGCAACAAGTGCAGATAAAACTTGGTGTCTGTTAACGTAATCCAAAAGTTTCAAAAGACAGTACAAATGTGTTCTGTCATATATCCAGGAGGTACAAAAACACAGCTCTTGGAATCAGTTCTGTCGTGCCAAAATATGGAAATCTTGGATCCCTAACTCCATGCCACACACAAACTAAACAATGTCACTGATATATTTCGTTTAAAAAAAAAGTAAAGCTATCCCTGTAACAGGCCGTGAAGGCATATAGGGTTGTGCGACATTAAGGGTCCCACATTACCTCGACAATCGGCTCAAAGATGGCGGTAAGGTTGTCAGCATTACACACCGGCCGCGCTTCACTCCCCAGGAAAATCATTTAATTAATTCCTGGTACTCATTTCTGTCAGAGACTGAGTAAACCCCGGGGCCTGTGGCTTCCGTAGTCTAGGGGTAACGTTCCCACCTCATGGTTCAAGGTACGCGGGTTCAAACCTGGTGGAGGTCATGGAATTTTTAAGGGCGGAAAAATTCAGGGAACAAGTCCTCCAGGAGGGACTTTAAGCCGTGGGTCCCATGTCGTAGATTTACGGCACGTAGAAGAACCTCATGTCTCTAAGAGACCTCTGAGCTAAATTAGGCAAAAAGTTTCCCGCCCAAGTAGCTACCAATGCCTCTGGTAAATGGGAAAGCATTAGGTACCACTGCCAGAGGAGGGATGACCTCACTGACAGAAAGGGACTAATTATCAGATACCACTGCCAGTAGAAGGCCGAAACCTCGCTGGCAGAAAGGGGCTGATAGCGAGCACCAGTACCGGTAGGGTATGGAAACAGTAGAAATTTAAAGGGGGACTTACAACAGACTATTAGTGGCGGTGCATGGGGAAACCCACCCCCTCAATACTGAAGAACTGAAACCCCAGGGCCCAGTGCATCCAGAAGGATTAGGTCAATTGAAAAAAATCCAATGACCTCATCGGGATGATATATTTGGTAGGTTAAGTTATTTTCGGTTATATTAATATTTCTAAAATACCTTTGCATCCTATGGGCTGAGCACTGTAACAAGTCATGTGATGTGAAGGGGAATTTTCACCCTCCTCAATCCATAACTACAAAATAAATTGGGTCAAGCTGTAATGCTTCTGGCTTGTAGTCAAAGTGCCCAGTTTAAATCTGATACCAACTACAATGACAAGTTTCCCATGGTTTTGTTCTGTCCCTCCAGGCAAATTCTGGGATAATGCCTCAAATTAGATAATAATCACTTCCTTCCACATCCTTGCCAATTTATTATTCACTATCACCCAATCAGTTAACAATACATCACCTCACTTAGAGAGTGTGATGTCAAATAAATGAACACATAAATAAATAAGTAAATAACTAAACCTGAATTATGTCTTTCTACATCATAGCACATTCAGTGGGAAGTGCCCTGTTTTTATGTCTTACATCTCAGGTTTCAGTTGTGCCAATTTGTTTGAAATATCCAACATTTTGGTTAGAACTGCAGCAGCAACAGTCTCATTTAAGGTGGTGGTAATTATTAACCTATTAGTATGTTTATATCACAGTATCCTAGTGATGATATAAACTACTGCTGAGTCTGTATCCATCCTATTAGAACAGTCAAGGCAATTAATAATTTCCAGTTAATACTGCTCAAAACGCAAAACACTGACCATACTTTAATTTCATGGTATTCAAGCATTTCTTATTTATTTTACATTTACATTTTTGGAGAGCATTAACTTCTACTTTACAATTTTTAAAATCTGGCAAATGCAACTTGACTACCACCTAATTTTAAAACATATTTTATAAATAGAACCACTTTACCTGAGCTACCCCTTGGTCCCATCCTTTTATGACTTCACCCTTTCCTAGACGAAATTTGAATGGTACTCCTCTGTCTCTGGATGAATCAAACTTTGCACCATTCTCTAAAGTACCTAAAAGAATAATTGGAATTGACTGTATATTAGACTATTCAACGGAAAATTAATAATTTACATCCCCCCCCCCAAAAAATCTTGCAGTTTCACTTTCACTTTATTTTAAATTCCATACATCCTTCCAGGTCACGCATGCCATAGGATACAGAACATGTCAAAATACATAAACACATACATAAAAACATTGGACCCATCAACACGCAATACAGTCATAGTACAAAATTTGTACATAAAATATTCAAATATGATCAAATTTATGCAGATATGTGATTATTGTTGTCACAATCATAAATTAATACAAAATACCTATTCATAATATAGAAGTTTGATGCAATTATCGCCATCACATTACTACAAATACTTCATTTAACAGTCCAAATATAATACATTTCATCAGGATTTAAAAATTATAATATACAGTAAAATCTGCCTTAAATGGACCCCTTATTAAACAGAGATCTGTCTTAAACAGAAATATTTTCAGGTCCCTTGACTTTGGGGCTGAAAAAGATGTCAAATAACCTTGATTAAACGGAAACTGTCTGACGCGGACAACGGAAATCAAAATAAGCCTTTATACGGAAAATTTTCAGTCTTCCAGAATGCATCGTTTAGAATAATTTTAGGCATCCTATACATTCTACAGAATTTTGTTTTCCCTAACTCTTTAAAATAAGCTTCTAGCAGTACTGCACTACCTGCACTGAGATTCAGCAGAATTGTTTTCCCCTTCTGGAAATTGTATTCAGTAAGGGCTCTAGGCCTACAATTGTCATCATGGCTACAAAGACAAGAGTTGTGCTTGATCTTAACACAAGATTAAAAGTGATTCATGCGAGTGAGCGAGATAAATTGTCTGTTAAGCAGATCATGAAGATGTTTTGTGTCGGTAAAACTCAAGTGTATGAGATTCTAAAGAAGAAAACGGAAATTTTGAAGCGGTGGGAAACTTGTGTTAATGGAAAAATAAAAATAGAACTTAAGAAAACTCCAAATGAAGACATTAATGAAATAGTGTGGGAGTGGTTTGTCAGTGTGAGGGCAAAAAATCACCAGTTGATGGGTCCTATGGTACAGGAATATGCTAAAAAAAGTCGCTGAAAAACTGGAGAAGACTGAATTCAAAGCATCTAATGGATGGTTGGAGAGTTTTCGCAAAAGACATCGGATAGTTTTTAATGAACTTTGTGGTGAATCAAGTGATGTAAATAGTGAGACCATTGAGAAATGGGAAGCTAAATTGCCATCCATAATCGAGGGATATGAACCTAAAAAAAAAAAAACCAGCAAACGGTGATGAGAATGGACTGTTCTTCCGCGCACTTCCAAATAAATCGCTATGTCTGAAAGGTGAAAAATGTTTGGGAGGAAAATTGTGCAAAGAAAGACTGACTGTTTTTCTATGTGGTTTTATGTCAGGTGAAATGGAGAAAACCTTAGTGATTGGCAAGCAGCAAAGCCACAATGCTTCTGAAACATGGACATACAGAAACTTCCCATTGAGTGGAGATCCAACAAAAATGCATGGATGATGTCACAGATCATGGAGGAATGGTTAACGGCCTTCAATGGTAGAATGAAAATGCAAAACCGGCATGTTTGTTGTTCTTGGATAACGCAACAGGCCACCCTCATATCGAACTTTCCAACGTGCGACTTGCTTGGTTCCCTCCAAACACCACTAGTGTTTCTCAACCAATGGATCAGGGCATCATTCGGAATGTTAAGGTCCACTATCACAAATTATTAACGCAATCTTTGCTCGTCAATATAGATTCTACATTATCCGCCTCTGAACTTGCAAGAACTGTCTCAGTTCTAGATGTGGTTATTTGGATAAGTCAAGCAGTAAAGAAGTTTTTACCAGAAACTGTGACAAAGCATTTCGAAAAAACAGGATTTTCTATGGTAGAAGTTACTCCTAGTGTAGAAAATGAGAATGACCAGGACTTACAACATTGCATGAATGAAGCTGCTTTCAGTAACTGCAATTCTGAGGACTACATCAACATAGACAAAGATGAGCAAACAGAACCAGACACAATGGATATCAATGTATTAGTTGAGAATTTTAGAGAAAATCGAAAAGGAAGAGAGGAGGAGGAGGAGGANTCATGGGTTCGAATCCCACTCAGGGCATGGATGTTTGTGTGCGTTTTCCTGTATTTGTCTACAGGTAGAGGCCTTGCGACGAACTGATCACTCGCCCAAGGAGTCCTACCGTATGTGTAAGATCTAGTAAACCGAATTGAAACAGAGAGTTTCATGGAGGTAGGCCTAGGCCCAAATTGGGGCTGTAGCACCACAGGAAAATTGACTAAACGGAAACCTGGCTTCAGCAGAAATTTTTTCTGGTCCCTTGAGATTCTATTTAAGACAGGTTTTACTGTGTAATAAAAATTCAGTATATACAATCAGTAATTTCATAGCAAGAACCTTAAAATTTGAAAACTATTAACATATTCCTCTGCTTGATACAAGGAAATGAGCTGTAAGTAAGCCATTCACAACCATCTTAACCGTTTACTGTCATGTGTTATTTAAAACAGATGGTCTATTACAATACCATACTTCCACAAAATTTATACCCTTAAATGGCCACCAACTAGACAGTGGGTAATACATCGTGTGGAAAATCAACCTAACAAACAATTCAAGAAAATATCTGGATTACAATCCTTTGTCTTCTTTATATTGAAAGTATTTGGTTATAGAGTAAAAAGAATGATGACATAAAAACCTCTTTAATGTAAATTTAAAGCTTTTCTCATCATTGACCAAAATCTTTATTGAGTGACTGAACACTTTAATACCTGTTATATAGGCTCCTTTATCAAATTTGAAGTATTCACAATAGGTACATGTAATTACCTTTGGATCTATTTGTATATTCATGAATCTCAATATTAAAGTTAAATAAATGTTTATTATTAATTATGTATAAAAGTAATGGGTATATATACTGTGAATATGTCATAATTTCCAATTTCTTGAAAATATCCCTGCAAGAATCTCTAGGTTTATGGTTTGTTACGATTCTAATAATTTTCTTTTGCAAGATAAGCACTTTCCTGGCATGAGAGGAGCCACCCCAGAAGATTATACCATAGCTCATGATGGAGGGTATGTAAGCAAAGTAGATTTGCCTTAACGTTGCAGATGATAAAATATGGTTTATATTTTGCAATGCATAGCACACAGAGGAAAATCTATTGATCACTAGGTCAATATGCTGTTTCCAAGATAATACATCATCAATAATCAAACCAAGGAACTTAGTGTTACACTAGAGAAACTTTCCTGATCATAATTAATTTGTGTCATTGTGTTACAACAATTCATGGACCGAAACTCTAAATATTGGCTTTTATTGAAATTTAAGGTTTATTTTAATTGCTAGTGGGGTGGGACTAAGTCCATTGTACTGCGGCCACTTCTGGAAATTTAAGGTAAGTAAATTAACATCAAACCAAGTGTTTATATCTTTAAAGGTTTGGTTAAGATTTGTTTCAAAGTTTACATTATTAGTATCAGTAATTCTGATACTGGTGTAATCAGAATATAGAATCATGTTATTATCCTTATTTATTATTTTAGGTAAATCATTTATAGAACATAAGAAGGGGGGGGGCAAGAATCGAGCCCTGTGGAACTCCACATTTCACTATTTCCCACTTAGATGTATTGTTACTATCAGTTTTATGACCCAAAACAACTCTCTGATGTCTTACCAGTTAGATAAGATTTAATTAATGTTTTAAATATACCTTCTATTCCATATAATTCCAGTTTAACCAACAAAATTTTGTGATTCACACAATCAAAAGCCTTTTGCAGGTCACAAAAAATACTTCCTACATTCTGCTTATTATTCATGGCTGTGCGAATACTATTAATCAATAAAAATGTGCCTTCTCAGTTGAAAGATGTGCCCTGAATCCATATTGCCAAGATAGTGTTAGCTTCAATATGAGTGATTAATCTCGAATAAATAAGTTTTTCAATAATTTTTAAGAAGAAGTCAACAATGAAATGGGCCTTAGTTAGAGATTTCTTGTATGTTGCCTTTTTTAAAGCAAAGTTTAACTATGGCAAACTATAATTATAGTTATTGATATATATATATATATAGATTGATTATAATCAATCTGGAAATACACCAGTACCCAGGATCGCACTGCAAATATGTGTTAATGGTGAGATTATAAATGGAGCACTTAATTTTATTATTCTACTAGAAATCTCATCATACCCAGAAGAATCTTTAGTCTTTAATGATTTTATAATTTTTGCAATTTCCTGAGCAGAGGCATATTGCCAGCTCATTTTGGTGAAAGGTCTATTAAAAACATCTGCCAAATAAGTAGCTGGATTATTTATACTTGTATTTGTATATCTATTAATATCTGATATAACAGAATCAGCCATAGATAAAAATAATTGTTAAAAGCACCAGCAATTTTAATGTTTCATTATTACTTTATTGTCTGTCACAATGGAATGAATACCTCTGTCTCGCTTTATTCTTCCTTTATTATTTTTCAAGTACTTCTTATTGTATTGTTAGAATCAGCAATGATTGTTATAGTGTAGTTTTTTTGCTGCTAAAATTACTTTTGATAGTATTTTACTGTACTGTGTTTAAAATATAATTAGAATTTAAATCATTATTATATCTACTTAATAAAAAAAGTTCTCTCTTTTTGTTACACGAGATTCTTATCCCTTTGGTGATCCATTTATTATGACTGTTGTTGTGTCTAATTCGCTTTTTTGGGAAGGAAGCATAAAAACATCTTAAATATGTATTGTGAAAATTATTAAACATAACATTAACATTATTATTACTGAATATATCATCCCAAATTTTCAAGCTTAACATATATTGAAATTCCGCTATAGTGTTATTAATGTTTCTAGTATAAGTAGTCTCAAGTGTCATGTTTAGTATAGGGACATTATTAAGTATTATAAGCTCGATATCAACTCCATTTTAAAATTTAAAGTTCCATAATTTACTAAGCAACTATCATGACAGTGAAAGTCATTCTTCAGTTTCTAAAGCTCTATGAACAAAATTTCCATATTTCTGTACAACAAAAACTCCACGACATAATTTATTTTTAATCTGTAATCCAGAATTACAGTAGCATACTCACCTGTATAATGAACAACAACAGTCTGGCCAGTTTTGGGATATGTTTGCCCTGAAATAATATATACATATATCAAAGTTATAAATCTCTACTTTGAACTTTAATTAATGCAACATTAATTTTTGTATAGTGTTCACTGCTCAGTTATGTTTATGTACCGTACTGTGTATTAAAATTAAGCAAACCCAGAGAGCTGAGTCCTTGAGAAGCCAATAGCCCCTAAGCTACTCATGAATTTCACAACAATTTACAGAACCTGAAGTTTCATTCCAGCGTTCATAAGAGTCCACCACTTCTCCCCATCCTTAGCCACATCAATCCAACCATACCATCTGATTCTACTTCTCTATGATGCATTTTAACATTATCATACCACCTACATCTAGATCTTCCTAGTGATCTCTTTCCTTCTGGCTTTCCTACTAAAACCCTGTATGTACTCCTCTTCTTCCTCATGCATGTTACATGCCTTGCCCATCACACCCTTCTTGACTTGATTATTCTAATTATGTTTGGTGAAGAGTACACGTTATGAAGCTCCTCATTATGAAACTTCCTCCAACCTCCTATAATTTCATCCCTCCTCTTGACAGTCATATCACTTACGAAAATACGACTTTAAAATTAGTTTAGTTGGCTTATTTCAACTCCATCACGAGCAATCAACTGTGGAAAGTAAATATATAAAAGAACCAAAATCATCAACATAACTTAATGGCAGGCTTCGTGCCAGAAAATTCTTACTATCATTACTGTTATTTTATACTGGCGTCAGGAAAAGTTTCAATTTCGTACAAAATATAAACACAAGACATAAATATGACCTTTATATCCTAACCTCAACAGATATCAGTCAGGAATGCACTACACAGGAATATGCCATTAGAAGTTTAAACGTGATATACCACACTTTAAAACGGATTTAAAGCTTATCTCTTGCCTCACTCCTACTTTGCAGTATAATTTACTTCACATGAATTCTTCATAAGTACAGTAAATGTTTATGACAATATTTCATTTGTATAATTATTTTGCTGGTTACAAGATATTCTCATAACGACGTCTGTACATTGCTGTAACAATGTATATTTATTTGTACTACGATATGTACTACACCCCTGGTTTAGTCCTATAAGTATCTATGAAATGTTATTTCTATGTAACAAAACGAAATTTGGCACTTCCATAAAGTAGTTAGTAAAGACACATGAATTGGGGTTAATTACCATCACCCGGCGAAACAACTTCTACTTCCACACCCATGATTGACAGACTTGAGCCTTAATATTAATGTAAAAGAACACAACTCTGAAAAAAGATACAAAAACTGACCAACTTGAGTAATTCTTAAAATAAAACAGATTCTTTTCCCCTTCAACAACCACTCCTATCCCTAACAATATTTCCGGTTACTGTATTCACAGATCCACAGCAACAAAAAAAAAATGGCGCCCCGTCAGTGGTGTTCAGTGGGTTCAGTGGTATCGCAACAAGAAAACATAGTGCGAATTAATTAGTGAGTCAAATTAAATTTAATTTCATGCTGGCTAAACTATTAATACAATTTCGGATATTCTTACTACATATTTTTACTATGTGTGCATTATTATTATTATTATTATTATTATTATTATTATTATTATCATCATCATCATCATCATCATTTGAACGTTTGTAAAATCGTAAAAAAAAAATACTGATTCAGTCACCATGGTCACCGTCGTCACCGTTGAGGTCGTTGAGGTGGCACGGGAGGTTGCGCGTGCCTAGTAGATACGGAAAATTCGTTGGTGAATGAGGTTGGGAAAGAATGCCGTCTTCCGGAATGTGGTGCACTGTAGATCTTGTATGAATCGATGTTTCGGATAAACGTATCGCCTCCTTCTTCAGGATAGAAAAATCCGCGAACGAGAAACCAGCGTGAGCAGGTGGCAGCAGACTGCTGCCGAAACTTACGTTCACACAAGGTGTACACCGTCTACACAGTGTCACATCTCAGATGACGGCATTCTTCATAGTCACCGCCGTGAAACATGTTTGCGAAACTTTGGAAAGTGGGGAAATTGAAGAAAATCACATAGCCCTGAAGCTTCAAATACGGGACCTGCAGGGCCAGCAGGCTGGAAGTTCGAACTATAACCTCCATGCACCTCTTTATTTTTCAGCATTGATTGCCTGCTCCTTTGAGGTGCAGAACACAAGGATGTTGCTTCCAGTGGCTTCTCTGCTCTCCAAAAGAATACAGCAATACATGGGGAAACATTTATTATCAACTACTGCAACCCCACTGGAAGCTATTGCTGATGATTTTTACAACTGTTCCGAAGTAGAGGGAAGAAATTTTCTGCAAAGCTTGTCACACCTACTCTTTCAGTACTGGTTATGAAAAAATAAATACATAAAAACCCGTGATTGGGTATCAAAGCTTTACTACCCTCCCTGTGGGAGCCAAAAGGGTTGCATTCTAGTTCTGATGTGACTTCATATAATTTTTTAAAATCAAATAGAGGGTAACTGCAGCTGACATGATTAACTTGCACAGTTTGAACACAAAATAACATTCTTATGCATCTTTCTCATGTGGTTGCTAATGAAGAAGAATTTCCTTCTGTCAGTATTATTGGGATGCTGACTAACGGTTCTGTGATATCAAGTTTTTATGGTTGGGGGTGGTGGGGGTAAACACAGATCAGAGGCGCCTGCACTATTGACTCATCTAGAATGATTCCCAATGCTCCCTTCTTATGATCCACTGATCATAATTATGATCAGTGGAGATCTCTGTTAGGTGTATATTATAATATACACCTAACAGAGACATGGTTAATGGGCTCAATTTTTAGTTACAATCATTTTCCAATCAGTCCTTTGTCAGCGTGGTATGTCACATAGCACATGTGACATTGTGACAGCTGACATGGGATGGTTCCCTAACTTCATGGTTCAGCATGAGCTAATAACTCCTTGCAGTAAAACAAAAAGTCTGTTATGAAATGTAAAACTGAGTCTCAGGTTGACAGATATCTTTGGACCAAGCTATGCAAAAGAAAATGGACATTAGATAGTGAAGTATCAGATGAAATGTGAGTGCAAGATGTCAGATAGGACAGGGGTGTTGTGGAACCAGCAGGCACTTACACATTTTTTCATGGAAACTGGAATGACATCCATGAATTAGGGACAAGATTTTTGGATGTTAGAATAATCATAATCAGAAGTTAAGAAGGTAGACCTTATGTATACGTAGTGTGTTCAAAAAATATCGAACCTTTGGTCGGCAGAAATACATTTATTGATTTGGAGGTACAAAACTCTAATCCCCTTCAAAGTAGTCTCCTTGGTAACGCACACACTTCTCTCAGCGCTTCTGCCATTGTTGGAAACACTTCTGGAAAGCGTCTTTTGGAATGGTGATCAGCCGGGCCATCGCATTCCGCATGTCTTCTCTTGACTCAAACTGGGTTCCTTTCAGCGGCATTTTCAGCTTGGGAAATAGATCATATATCAATACTAAAATGATTGCCGAATCCTTCAATAAATATTTTTTATCAATAGCGGAGACCATTACCAAAAGTACAGTAAAAAAATGTGTTATATTTGACATGTCTTATATCATGTATAATGATCCGTGGACACGAAATAAATGAAATGAAATGAAATATGTAATAAGGCTAATGAATATTTAACTGATATATTTACAACCACTTTCCCTCCGATCAATTATAGTTATGTTACAACAAATGAAATTGAAAAAATTATAGACAAATTGAAAATGACCAATTCTACTGGGTATGATAAGATCACTATCAAAGTATTAAAAAGTTGTAAACATTTTATTACCTCATCCTTAACATACATAATAAATAGATTGTTAGCTACCGGTATATTTCCTGATAGGCTAAAATTCTCCAATATAAAACCTATATATAAAAATGTTGATAAAAATCTTATCAATATTTATAGGCCTATATCCTTATTGACTTCCTTTTCGAAGATATTTGAGAAAGGTGTTTGTAAGACTTTGTCATCATTTGACTATCAACAATGTTTTAGCCAATGAACAGTTTGGATTTCGAATTAAATTTTCCACTGAAAAGGCCATTAATAAATTGCTTGACCTGACCTTAACTGCCCTGAATGCTGGCCATAATGTGGGTGGAATATTTTGTGATTTGAAAAAGGCCTTTGATTGTGTCAATCACAAGATTTTATTATCTAAGGTGGAATTCTATGGTATTATGGGTCCGATGCATAAATGGATAGCATCTTATCTTAAAGGAAGGTTTCAAAGAATTAAATTACAAGGTAATGATAGTAACCTAAA